CTGGTCTGGTAAAGGAAGTTTAAAACAATAAACAATAGACTTGCCCCATTTGAAGATTGGTTAGCTGCAGTATGCTACATGTTTGCTTTTGGGTTTAAATACACTTTAAGAATGTTTATAGAAAATCCACTTTAAGCTGGTGCAGCTAAGTGCATTTATATTACAGCCCCCCTTTGAAGCACTAGCCCTCTCGAAGCACCCCGCTGTTTGATCTGAGTCATATACTGAATACTATTACAAGTACTAACCACATTCAGTTCCAGAACAATATTTTTGCCTATAGTGGTCCTTTAGGGAATGGACACCATACACCTCCATGTTTGCCTTACCTGGACAGAGCCAAGCGAAGATTTTCCACCGAGCTATAGACATAACTGCTTGAAAAGCATTTTTTCTTTCTGGATGGAGGGTTTCATTAATAAAAGTGAAGCCTGTGTCCTCTGCACCTGTGCTGATGATCTTGTAGGATCCTGTGAGATGTGAACCCCACATTTCATTATTAAGTGCCAAATTAGTGACTGGCAGGATGTGCGGCTCTAGCCGAGGCCGTGACCCAGGCTGGTGCGAGCATCTCTCTGCCATTATACGGCAGTGCAAAAGTTTGCTTACTGCTCAGTCTGTAAATCTATGACAAGCTTAACAAGATGTCATTACAGAGGCTAATTCTGCCCCGGGAGTATAGAAGCCGGGTAATGAGACGGAGTCCAGCCGTGCCGGAGAGGGCTGACTACCTTTACATGGAGAAGCCTGCATTGTAAGCTCAAATCATGGCAGCAGTGCCGTATAATGAGTGTAATATCTGCCACCTCCTACTGGGTATTGTATGATGTTCAGAACGTGCTTCTTCTTTTTTATGGTTCCTTCATCGAGGAACATCAGCACAAATCAGTTTGTAGGCTCCAGTGAGCAGCTTTACAAGACAAAAGAAGCTTACTGATATTTGTGCTTTTAAGGTGAAGCTGAAAGCTGACCTCCAGACAAACAGTTGATGAATACAGGGATGAAATGCATCTAGCGGAGCTGTATTAACTGCCAAATGATTTGTATTTCTGTACATCCGGTCTTGATATTTATACAGCTCTACCACACAGCACAACTATGTCTGGCAGGGCAGGAGGACTGAGTGCTGCTTCACCTTTTACTGTCCAGTCCCAGGCCAAGGGAGGGACAAAACCTGTTCTACTGAACAGCAGCAGACTAATGAGCTCATCTCTCTGTGTTCTCTTCTCCTATCAGCATGCTCTTTGCATGGCAGCACACCTTATTAGATCCTTGTGCTGCTTTTCCCTCCTTCATCCAAGTGCTGCTGTACAGGGAGTGCAAGAGACCTTTACCAAGTCAAATTCTGCTTTCTTATTGTCCCATGCCTTGGTGTGAGCCTGAAGTGACGAGGAAGGCATCCCTTTGCAGCTCTCAGCTGAGCCCCACTAGAGATGAGCCAGCAGTTGTACAGACAGAGAGGGGCATGAGTGCCTGTGGCTGATGTGGATGCTTGACACACCGGAGATGATGGTGCTGACGACTGGATGCCAGAGGTAGCTTGTGGTTGGTAGCAGATCGGACGGCACTGGTGTGAGGAGCTGAAGCGAAGTCAGGAACAAGCCACGGTAACGTGCGGGCAGGGGGGTAAAGAAGCAGGAGGCAAAAGCGATGTCAGGAGCAAGCCTGGTCGTACACTTGCAAGCAGAGTGGTACCAAATCAGAAGACAGAAGGATGGTCACAAAACATGGTGTTGAACGTGCACATAATTTTCATGCATGCGCATTCCTATGCGCAATATTGGCAGGAGCTGTACTATAGGGGCTGACTGATGTACCCTGATACTTATTCCATCGCTGTGTCAATGAATGCATGGCTAATATATTCACACATTGGCTGCATCAATAGTTCATGTGCTGACAAGAAGCATGCTGATAGGAGGAGGAAGCAGATTTACAGAGATGAGCTCATCACTGTGCTGCTTCCTCTTTGGGCCTGTTTACACCAGCCCAAGCATATTATGTTCTATGTAACGCACACACTGGTATGCATTACGTACGGTTAGTGCAATGTGTTGAAACCACTTATCACGTTTTCCCTTTTTTTTTTTTTATTACAATGTAAAACTTCTTTAAACGTTTTGCAGCGCAGCATGTTGTGGAGTGCTGCATTTTTACACATTGCACCTGTATGTTGTGAACAGGGCCTGTAGGCAACAGTTTCCTATGCGGCCTTGCGTTGAGCCTGCAATGATCAACAGTGGTCAATGCAGGCTCAACGCAAGGGCGCATAGAAAGCAATAGTTGTCTAAGGGCCCTGTTCACAACATACAGGTGCATTGCTCAGTGCTCCTGGTGTGAATAAGCACTTTCATTGTCCAGTCACAGGCAGGGGCTGGCCCATGACAACCTGGGCTCAGAGAAAGTGGGCTGAACGATGCTGCCGGTCCGACTGAGGACATCTAGTTGTGTGAAAAAAAAATTGCACTGCGGGGGAATCTCTGGACTGAAGGTGAATATGACAGTAAAAAGCTTGTTTTGATATATAATTTTTAATGGGTTATTCATTTTTACCTTCTTTGTGGCTGAAGTTCTACGTGAACATTTAAAAAAAATGATCTTTATGTGCATATTTTGCCGTCTTGATCTGCAAAAATAAATCCAATGCAAAATAAAAGGAGAAGGTGAGAAAGCCAAAAGTATTTGGAGTGAATGATCGATTTACACCCTGCATTGCGGATTTTGCAGACCCCCAGACTGCGGCAGTATACGATCCATGGTCCAATGACTGCAGTTATTAAGAAAATCCAGCCGCATCTCTGGCTTGCCGAGAGTGACAAGCCACTACCCATGTTTACAGCATATACCGCACTGTCACCTACTCCCATGTTCCCTAATAGATATTCTTCAAGCGTAACGATGGAGATGTACAACAGGACACCCCTGTTCAGGAATAATGTTATTCTGTAACTGTTCATTCCCCTGTCACCTGAAGCAGCCATTATCCAACAGATCTCAGCTTGATCTCTTGATACATTGGCATTCCGTGCTGCATATGCTTTGGTATTGCTGCCGGGGACCGTAAAAGCGCCTACCCCTTCCGGCAGCGTGGCAATTATTGATGAGCGGTGGAACCCCCAGGATTCTTCAGGCACTTTGATGTTCACCTTTATACCTGAAAATATGAAGAAATAAAAATGCACCTTGTGTGCCACAACATCAAATATCTGCTACTTTGTGTGTATAAAGAGATATAGCGTTGTCAGTGAGAGCTTACTTTGAATTATTGTAGTGTTTACATGACATTTTGTTTTTGTGGCTTTTTTCCTATTTTTTTCTACTTGTACTTCTACATTTTTGTTATATAGAGACGTGCAACTTAGGAGATGTCATTGGCTCAAAGTCTCCTTCTTAAAGCTGAACTCAATCTTTCTCTTCAGTTTTGCACAGTTGTATGGGATCCCCTCCTGCACACTGAGCTTTTGTGCCCACATATCTGTTTTGGTGACTTTGATTGTATAAAGAAAATAAATGGAAAGGGGAAAAAATATATAGATATATATAGAAATATATATCTATATATATGTAAATATACACATACATTGCCAAAAGTATTGGGACACCCCTGAAAATCATTGGTTTCAAGTGTTCCAATCACCTCCATGGCCACAGGCACCTCAAACACCTCGGCATGCAGACGCTTCTACAAACATTTGTGAAAGAATGGGTCGCTCTCAGGAGCTCAGTGAATACAAGCGTGGTACCGTAAGGCCCCGTTCACACTGAGCGATTTATCGCAGTGATATCGCTCATATTTCGGCGCGATATCGCTCTATGTAGCTTCTCCAATACATTTCAATGGAGCTGTTCACATCTCGTTCGCTCAATATCGCTTGTAGCTCGTCGCTGGTAGCTTGTCGCTCCTACATGACCCTTTTTTAGAGCGATTTTGCTCCTGATTGCATACAGCCCAATAGGAAAAAGTTGCGCAATATCGCTCAAAGTCGCGCGATTTTCATGTCGCTCAGTGTGAACGGGGCCTAATAGGTTGCCACCTGTGCAATAAGTCCATCCGTGAAATTTCCTTGCTACTAAATATTCCGCGGTCACCTGTTAGTGGTATTATAACAAAGTGGAAGCAACTCAGCCACGAAGTGGTAGACCACGTAAAATGACAGAGCGGGGTCACCGTATGCATTACATCACCAAGTGCAATGCAAACGTTGGATGCAGTGGTGTGAAGCACGCCGCCACTGGGCTCTAGAGAAGTGGAGACGTGTTCTCTGGAGTGACGAATCACGCTTCTCTGTCTGGAAATCCGATGGACGTGTCTGGGTTTGGTGGTTGCCAGGAGAACGGTACTTGTCTGACTGCATCGTGCCAAGTGTAAGGTTTGGTGGAGGGGGGATTATGGTGTGGGGTTGTTTTTCAGGGGTTGGGCTTGGCCCCTTAGTTTCAGTGAAGGGAACTGTTAAGGCATCAGCATACCAAGACATTATGGACAATTTCATGCTCCCAACTTTGTGGAAACAGTTTGGGGATGGCCCCTTCCTGTTTCAACATGACTGCGCACCAGTGCACAAAGCAAGATCCATAAATACATGGATGAGTGAGTTTGGGGTGGAGGAACTTGACTGGCCTGCACAGAGTTCTGACCTCAACCCGATAGAACACCTTTGGGATGAATTAGAGCGGAGACTGCAAGCCCGGTCTTCTCCTCCAACATCAGTACCTGACCTCACAAATGCGCTTCTGGAAGAATGGTCAAACATTCCCATAGACACACTCCTGAACCTTGTGGGTGCCTTCCTAGAAGAGTTGAAGCAGTTATAGCTGCAAGGGCGGGCCAACTAAATGTTGAACCCTACGGACTAAGACCGGGATGCCATTAAAGTTAATGTGCGTGTAAAGGCAGGAGACCCAATACTTTTGGCAATATAATGTGTATGTGTGTGTGTGTGCCAGTCCATCTGTTCATTATTCCATTTCTGACATTTTCTCGTTTCTTTTGTATCTTTCAGTAAACTTTGAAGCGCTGATTATCGCCATGTCGGTGGTGCTGGGAGCGATCCTTTTAAGTGTCTTTGTCTGCTGCTGTTACTGCTGCTACTGCAGGAAGAGTTCAAGAACCAGGCTGTAAGTACCTCATTCGTTGATGTTGCTGCTTTAACTGAACCATTTCTGATGTCTTAAGATTCTCCCACCTACCCAGGTTATAGTACAGCTAGTATTAGCTATTCACAATCACCTGGACTTGTTCTGTGATGTTGAAGACCTTTTGCTGCTCATCCAAAAAGCTTTCTCAGCTGAGAAACATCTTCATTACAGAACAAGTTACAGTTGATAGTGAATAATTTATCCGCCGCATGACTTCCTGATTGCCCAGGAAGCAGGCTCCCTGCTTTTTGGCCCGCTCGATGCTGATTGGCCAGGAAGCCGGCTCCATGTTCCCTCGCGGCACTGCCGGTCAGAGGAAATCTCCCTCTGACCGGATGTTCAGTTATCGAGTGTAAGTATCTGAGCATTTGGGTGAGCACGAGTACTCGGTATCAGCACCAATACCAATACTAGTATCAGTGCATACCTATCAAAAAACATATGCCGGCAATGTACATCGAGTGTACATGAAGCAGGCATATGCAGTGGATGTATATGAAAACAGAAACTTTGATCTTTTGTTAGCTTTCCTCTCCATATCCTCCTGGAAATGGATGCCTCTGTGCTGTACAAGCAATGTGTGTATATCTCCCCCCCCAGAGAGTGTATTGTGTGTAAAGGTAGAGTTGGTGTTCAGTGATCGTGTTACAATGGGTGACAAGGAAGTGGGTAGCTCCTCAGAAGTTTTTTCTCTTGGGCTCTCATGAACATGATCTATATAATCCCTTACTCATAGGTTATTATACCTTTTAAACCTATCGCTAATGACGACCCTCCTAATCGAGTGATTATCAAAGGTGGAGAGTTGTCCACCTTTGATTCATATGAAAGGAACTTCTGTATGAATTTGACGTACATTTTTATGACGCTCTTTCATGTTCCCCCTCCTTCCTCTATTATGTAGTGTCTCTATAAATGCTTGTTTTACTCGTGACGCGCAGACTTTATACTGCAACTACATACCTGCAAAATGTTGATTGCTTTGTTACTTTGATCCCTTTTCAAATAAGGGTACGTTCACACCAGATGCAGTGCGTTCGGGACCGATTTTGGCCAGGAACGCACTGCGGCCGGCTCACTTTTTTGTGGGGCAGGAGGGGGCGTGGCGGGCCATTGAAGTGAATGGCACCGTAGCCACGCCCTCCGGCCGCAATGCGATCGCCCGCATGGGATCGCAAGGCACATTGTGCTTGCGATGCGGTGCAATCAAAATGCTGATGCCACTCTCTATGCTCTGCCAGACATTGGAGTGGTTACTCCACACTGCGCCTGCAGTTTACGGCCCATTCATTAAATGCAGACCTCAGTGTGGAGCCTATGGTGTCCCATGGAGTTCTCTATGCTAAAAGTGATATTTTAAACATTGCTATTGCTATGAGATAGCTTTCAGACCTTCTGCATACAAAAAAAAAAAGTGTTGTCTTTTCTCCTAGCAATTTAAAAAAAATCTGTGTACATGGTCTGCAGTGCAGTGTACTCTCTGCTCCATTGAATCCAAGTGCCGAGGACAATGCTACTCACAGGAGTAGATAATGGTGCTGATGGATGGAGCAATGAGAGGCAGCTTGCATTACCAAAGAAAAGTAAAAATGTCAGGTAAGTCACTACAGTTCCACTCTAACACAGCATTGGAAGGGAGGTTGGTCACATGACAGGTCACCTAATGGACTCTCCTCCTCCTGGAATTTTGGCTTTTATTTATTTTGGATTTCCTTCATTTGAATGCCATGAAACTGCTTTATAAATGGGGCCTTGTGTGTTAAAGGAGAACTATGGGGTTAAGTCTTTTCCCCATAGTTCTCCTTAGGGTAACGGGAGGACACAAAAGAGGTTTTTTGAATGCTTCAGTATGGGAAAAATCTCTCTCTGTTCAGATGTAATCCTTCGGATGCATCAAAGCACTTACTCCTTGATGACATCTCATTGTCTAAATGTTGGTTTCCTGGATGTCATGCTGAGCCCTTGGCTTCAATGCTGGCTGGACTCAGTAATATTTTTTCGGTAACAAAATGGCTTCCTCCATCGTGTTGTCAGCAGGGCCTCTTGATGTAAAAAGGTACGTTATTTTCTAACCACAGAATGTGACCGCTTCTGTTCTATTTTATCTTTCCTAGTAGACTGGAAGCAGAAGAGGAGAATCTTATCCGAGAGAGAGAAAAGAGGAAACAGGAATCCCTCCAGAGGTACATTGTTTACTGTCATTTTGTGCAGCGGACGGCTCTATGAATTATTAAGAGCCTCGTTATTTAAACTAGATAAATAAACCAGCGAGACTTCTCTTCTCCTCAATGGAGGCATTGGTGACGAGGCCGACAAAGTGACAGCACTGTGTACGCTGCTGACGTCAATACTGGTGGGTGTTTGGGGTGATAAACAATTTTTGCTGGGTGATTGATCTCTCAGTGATGATGGAAGAAGCAGACTTTGGACTGAAACCACTGGCTGGTACCACAACCAAACACACACGCGTTTTGACTTTATGTAATCTTTTCTGCCTTTCAGTTGGTAGGGTTTTTTATTTATTTTATTTTGTATTTATTTTTTGACCAGCCGAATCTATATTATTTTTAGTAACCTGTCCTTTTCTGTCGATAAGGACAGGTTAGTGTCTCTGAAAAAGTTTTCATGCTGTCTGTACCTTTCTGTCACAACTATACCCCCTATTTCTTGTACAGGAATTTGGGAGGAAGTCTCCCTGAAGAGGTCACAGATGGAGATAAAAATCTTAAGGAACCTTTTTATTCCCCACAAAAAAAAATTTGACTAGAGTTGAGTTTTAACGAGTTCAGCTCACATCTGTACACCCCTTATAGACCAGGGCCATTTTTACATTTCTGTTAGGGGCCCAATGATTACGCAATTATTTAAAGGAAAAACAAGGCTCTCTTTCTGTGATATTGTCTTGCAAAAAAGATTTTATTTTTTATGCAATGCATATACAAAAATACAACCAGAAAAAATAAATAATTACAGTAGACAAAAAGTATAAATTCTGTAATACGTCCTATGTAGAATTACACCAAAATATAATTCTGGTACAAAGTATAGCAAAGTTAGTACAATAAAATAAAGGTTTTTGGGGGGGTTGTTTTTTTTTTTACAATTTTGTTATTTTTGTTTATTTATAATAGGTATTTATCTAGCGACGACACCTTTACACAGAGCCTTACATAGTGCACATTCACATCAGTCCCTGCCCTCGAGCTTACAGTCTACGGTTCCTATCTGACAGCCATACATACAGGGCCAATTTCGGCAGGAGCCAATTATCCTACCAGCATGAGTGTGGGAGGAAACCCACTCAAGCACATGG